ATCATTTTGCGAGTAGTAGTAGTAGTAGTAGTAGTAGTAGTAGTAGTAGTAGTTGCAGTAGTAGTACTAGTAGTAGTAGTAGTAGTAGTAGTAGTAGTAGTAGTAGTAGTAGTAGTAGTATTACTAGTAGTAGTAGTAGTAGTAGTAGTAGCAGTAGTAGTAGTAGTAGTAGTAGTAGGTAGCAGTGGCAGTTGCAGTATAGTAGCAGCACCGGCAGCGACAACAAACAATAGAGGCAGTAAGAAATAGTGGTAGTAACAGTGCCGCAGCAGCAACAATGGCAGTTGACGTGGCAGAATCACAGTGGCAGCAGCAGTAGCCGTAGCAACAGTAGTAGTAGTGGTAGCAGCACTCGCAGGCACTGTTGCAGTTGTACTGTAGCCGAAAGGGAGTAGACGTTTCGAGCGGCTTGCTTCTGCAGGTGCCCCCGCCTGGGACCTCAAAGGAATCGATGACGAACCCGAAACGGCGTCCCACCCCCACGCGAACGACATTTATAAAACCTCCCAACAATCATTCCAAGACCTTCGGAAGTAGCGGCCTCGCTTCGGAAGCTGACGGCTCAAAACCATCCTGGTCCAGCATCTGAGGCTTCAAGTAAGACTCTTCCTGCTTTGAGGGCAGTGGGCAATAGGCTTAATCGCTGGGCCCATGCGCCAGCTTGTGTGTTTCGTCGTCTACGAGTGATTTCAGCCCGGGGTGTCTGAGCAATCCATGCAGCACGGCCGCATGGCATACACACTGACGGGTCTCGTGACATCCCACAACGTTTTCACATTGCGGCACGGGCGTCACGCCCTGTCGGTCCTAATTAACGACTCCTGACAATCGGAAGCCGGCACGAAATTTCTGACGAAATACAATGCCCGGCGCAATTGGAACAACCCTGGCCTCATCCTGCTTCAAAAGCAAGTGTCACGTAAAAGGAGCTTACTGCTGCGACATGCTGCGACTACTCCTGCTGCTGCTGATACTGCTGCTACTGCAGTACTCTATACTACTTCAGATCAAGCAAGGTTTCAAATCATAAATACGCAACCACGGTAGCATCATGAGATTTCGGTACAATGGTATCATAGCACCGTTCTGTTCTTCTACCAGTACCTTCTAGTACCATCATATACCACACTACCACTACATAATACCACCATTGCATGGTAGTACTATACTATGAGAAGAGGCAGCAGGAAAGGAGCCTTGGAAGCTCCGAGCTTCGGCTTGCTCTTCCTGGGAAATGGGAAGAGGAGGTGTACGGTTTTTTTTTGGCCTCGCACCAGGGGGGCTTAGGGTCTTAGGGGTTTTTGTTTTCCTCTCGCATGGCAAAGAACTGTGCTCACAGGCGAGGTTGAATAGAGACTACAGGAGTGTTTTAGGGGTTCGGGTTCAGGGTTTTTTGTTTTGAGGGCTCTTGTCCTCCTGGAATGTTGCCGGCGCTCACTCTTGGACACTCCAGGCGAGGCACGTGGTTCGAAGTCTGCTTGAGTGAAACGATTGGTCTAGGATTCTCGGATTTCGGGGTGGCACCTAGATTTGTTGAAAAGCCTGGCCGTGCACCTGGAAAGAGGGAGGGAGGGAAGGAGAAAAAAAAACGGACGGTTTAGGGTTTATGGTACCCAAATCAGACAGAGAGAGAGAGAGAGGGAGAGAGAGAGAGAGAGAGACGAGAGCGAGAGCGAGAGATCTATATATATATATATGTAAATATACACATAATATAATGATAACAATTCATAGTAATCTTCTGTGTCGTCCCTATACCCCCCTATGTGCTCTGACGCTCTGAACTTTTAAAGGGGTATTTGCTCACTTTGCCGGGCTGCGCCGCTGTCGGCTTCTGCGTACGCTGCGGTGTCGGCCTGAGCGATGTCTCCAGAGCACCAGCCATGTGCGGTTCGTCTTACTCGTATCCCTGTAATGATCACTCAAATATACAAATGCGACCGTGCCACCCCATCTGCGTCAGTCGAAATCGCTGAAGCGCTAATCTGCCATCGCAACACCTTACAACCGAAAACATTAGCTACACAGTGTGCAACGTCGCTCGTCTAGTGCGGATGCTGCTGCTTTGAGAGGAAAGTCCTTGACGAGAAAACATATGAGAGCTGAACAGCCTGGTATCTTCGAACCAATATTTTCATAGCCCCTGAGCCCCTGCTGGGCCGCAAGCCGCAACTTCAGTGCTTCTGGTGGCACCTCCTCAGCCCTGTCGAGCTCTCACCGATGGCCACGAAGGCACAAGAATCTATAAGTGCCCTAACGGCTTAGCTGCGCCTGGTTCCAACTGCAACAGCTATGCAGATCAGAGCGGTGATGGCTACTAAACAGCTGAATGTGGACTCCAGCGCATCCTAAGCATGCAGAACGTGAATCCCGCGGCAAAGCTGATGACAGCCTTGTGATGGGGGCTGGTGACAGATCCAATCGCGGGGGAGAGGCCACCTAAGCGATGCTGCAAGTGGGCATCGCCATCATGTCGTATCGAACCATCTGGCTTTGACCGTTGACAGTACTCCTGCTATGTTGATCAACACGAAATCCCAAGCAGAGCCGAAGGCTCTGCAGATGGTCTGGCTTGAAGTGTAATTCGGTACAGACACCCCGAGTGCAATCCAAAGACGCCTGATCGCTGCAGCACTGGGGCCCAAAACAGGCGTCGTTCCGCCGAACGACGGAAGAGTGCCTGCCAGGGCTTCGACGTTATCCGTGTGCGGCGTCCTGCTTCATGCACAATCGCAGTCCTTTAGCGACGATCTGCCTGTGATTCCTCTAGGCATCATGCCATCAGCAACACCAACATGAAGAAGCTTGTCATCATCTTGAAGACGAAAGCGACGTGGCAGATTGTGGCATCTACCAGAATCTAACGGTGAGCATAGCTCCTGCGATGCCCGTGTGGCAGACGCAAAACGAATGCTTGTTGTATCTTGAATCTCAAATCAATGTCCAGAACGCGGACCTCGTTCACGAAGTGCGGCTAGGAGTCCTTTGCAGAGTGCATCCATGATTTGTGGGCACTCCCACCCTGTTGCTGAGAGCATTGCGTTGACAAGGCGTCGGAAAGGTTCTTTGGTTTTGCAAGGTCTGATTAGTGGTGGGCCCTCAAGTCTTGCTTGTCTCAGGGTGGTCTGCATGGTTCCTTCTGGTTTTTGGGCTCCGCACTTGCGGACGAAGCTTCAATGCTGCCTTTTAGTAGGCACAGGGCTTTGGCGCTGACCTTCCACTACAACCAGGCTGCCCTGAAAGCCTGGCCTTGGAGGTTCCGTGCTTCATTTTCAAAGGTCGCAGAGTACATAGGCTGGCATCTAGAAACACGCCACTCTGCACAAAAACCGCGCCCTGCAGTCCATTAAGTTCTTGGGCCAAGGGAGAAAAACTGAGGCATCTAAACTTGGAAGCGCATCAGCTACCAGAAATCCAACCCAGCAGCCACAAGCCGACCGAAATCATTTTTTGGATCCGGGGCTGCCTCCGTGATAGGAATGACAAGAATGACAGAAGGAACGGTCAGCACGGCCAAGCCCAAGAATCCTAAACCCTCTATCCAGTACGTACCCCAAGCCCGAATTCTGCTTCTCAAGTTGACCTATCACATCCTTATAATCCATAGCCCGCTATCCTAGACACTTGACTCTGAAAGGCGTCAGTCTCCATGCCTTACGACTCCCAAGCCCTACGCGCTTTTAAGCCCCACGGACAACCCTACCCCGAATCACTACGAGCCCTATACTAACCCCTAACCCTGGTCTTGATAATTAATCCCTATAGTGTATAGGAGCCATACCAATTAGCATAGGGTTTTGGGGGTTCCTTATTATAATTATAGTATACTATACCCCAAACCCTACTCTAATTTATAAAGGCCCCTATACTGTAGTACCCCCCCCCCCCCTTCCCCCTCTTCTTCAGACCTCCGGGCCGAGCTTCGACCTCCCAGTCACGTGGGGATCCGGGCGCTTGGGGTTCAGGGTGTTTGGTTTACGGTTTCGGGTTTTCTCTCTCGCACTGCAGAGAACCATGCTCACAGCGAGGTCTACGGTTTCGGGTTTAGGGTTGAGGGGGTTAAGAGGTTAGTGATGATCCTTGTAGAACTCTTCGTCTATGTGCTTGCATGAAGGATTCATAGTTCTGTCCGTGCCAACTGGATTGCATTATCCTTATTGCTGCTAGCTCTGTTTCTCTTCCTGTGGCAGACGGATGTTGGCAACGGGCGCAACACTATCGCAGGAGCCGGACATTACACTATGACTGTATAACCTTATAGCTGTCGAGGGACTGCCCCTTGTGATACAAGGCTATCGCCGGCTTTCGGTTTTGAAGGCTAGGGTTTGCACATGCACTGTCTAGCAGCAGGCTGGTTCAGTAGTACTTTCCTCCTTCACAACTATGCCTCCAGCGGCAAAGTGTGACAGTTTTGTTCGCGGTTGGTGCGTATCACAGAACCGCCATGCACTCCTCCAGTCTGTCTAGTACTTGACCTCCGCCACCCAATCCCGAAATGCAACTTCAGTCATGCATGCATTCCATGTTCATAAACGCCCGGAATTGGCAAGCATGCTGCATGGTGGGTTAAACTTAGGATGATGTCTAGGTGCATGAACGCAGCCTTTGCTTTGCTCTTACAGAACTCCTGTCGGAAAGGCCAAGTTCAACAGGCACAAGATATCAAGTCCGGGAGCCCAAGCCCCAAGGGGCAGGGGCATGTATGCCTGGAATTGAGACTGCCGAGCACTGCCCTCAAACCCTTTAAACCTACACTCCGAGCCTTGTCCAGCAGCCCGACAGAGCCCTAAGCCCTCAACCTTAAACCCATAATCTCCCAAATCCTCTACACGGGGTGTTCGGATACATTATATCAAACATATTAACATATTCAGAAACCCTCACACATAATCTTGGTGAACCCTTAGAGAGCTTGAAAGGAACACTGAAGAATCCGTCCGTGGCCTGGGCTAATCGTTCCAGGTCCATGGAAGCCGCAGAGGCCGAGATTTGCGGGGAGACGAGGCCCTGCCGAGGACAGAGCGTGGGTCGTGCCAAGAACTCGACCGCATGCAAGATCTTACACATGCGTTCCGTGCACCGGTCACAGCATACATCACGGCATCGCCACGACGGTGCAAAGCTGATACGACACCACCACCACGACGAAGCGAAAGCCACAGCGCCCTGCAACCGTGCATGGCGGGGCAGTGCATGAGCCAAAGCGATGATGCACACACGAATTTAGTACAGACTATGCACGCAAGTCGTTGCAAATGAAGCCTTCAATTGGTATGGTGGAAGAACCACACGGGTTTGCTGCAGGCGACTAAATATTGAGGCTCAGGAATCGCAGGCTTCGGGCTTAAGGTATGGGCCTCCGAACCGCACTCACATCTCAGACGCGTGGCTTTCACCGAGCTGCACTGCACAGGGCACCTCAGCTCTACTTCTTTTTCGCCGGCGTCACCTCGTATTCTGCTCGAACCCCGAGCTGTGTAGCCATCTCCCGGGCTTTGACCTCGGCGTCTTCCTTGGCATCGAAGGAACCACAGCACACGGTCTTCCTTTCGACAGCATGGTACAACCGCACCTGCCACTTCCGGTGTCCTTTGTGGAAGGAAACCCCCCTCACCGTTGAGCGTGGCGGTCTCGGCTTCGGGGGCTTCAATTTGCCCTGGCGCACGAGCTCCTCGCGGTGGGCCTTGGCTTCCTGCAGTGCGGCCTCGACAGCCGCCTCCTCGCCGAGGCCCTGCCCAAGGAACTTGGAAATTGGAAAGAAGCGAGCTTTCTGTCTGCGGATAGCACCCTTTCCATAGGATCGTTGGCATTTCCAGCTTGCATCCTTGACCACCCAGGTAATGTTCTGAATACCGCTTTGGCGCTCCAGTCTTGTCTTTGCCTTCTGAGCAGCTTTTGTTCGGGCTTTTCTTGCGCCTGTCGAATGCGGGTTCGAGCACGCCTCTACCCGTAGCAGCAGCTCGCCGACGATCTGCTTGATGTTCAGCCAAGCCCCACCTGCAGCAGCGCCTTGAATCTCTCCAACCTTGTTCTCGAACTTTGTGATCTTCTGTTGCACGTAGTCCAAGATATGCTTGATGGCTTGACAATCGAATTGGTTCATCTGCCACGTGCGGAGAGCATGCAGAAACAACGACCGAACTCGTTTCTGTAGATCCAGCGTCGGGTCCTGCGATTCCGGGGCAGTTCTGATTTCGCGTAGGTCCTTGGCACTTGCATCCTGTATCGCATGTCTGCGCGGAGCTGCCAGACAAGCTGCCGCCGTGATGAGGACATCTTCCAGCTCTACCTGGCTCAAGCTCCTCCGCGAGTGCCTGGACGCCTCCTCGGCCTGCTGCACACGCTCGAGCTTCTGAGCGTTGTTCAGAAAGCCCCACTCGTTCATCTTGCGAAAGAATATGAGGTGCTGAGCAGACTGGACAGATATACAAGGAGAGCCGGAATCGTCCGCTTCACGAACTTGCAAGGATAGATCCTGCTCTGCACTCACCTCAGCATCGATATCGTTATCCGTAGCTGCAACCATGTCGGTTTCGGATTCCCTGCAGCGGCGGTGCAGCTTCCGATAGCTTTTTTGCAGGCGCTTCTGTGCCTTAGTCCAAGCCTCATCGCCCGGCCAGGGAAACGACTGGAGCTTTGTGTGCATCTCAGAAAGGACAGCGCGCAATCGAGACGGCAACAGCCCACCATCCATCTTGTCCAGGAACTTCGTCAAGAGCTGGAACTCTTCAACTCTTGGAATTCGACCCTGCGGGCCGTAGGCGATCCAGGATGCCACGGGGGCTGCAAGCCTTCGGAGGCATGACTGGTCGCAGTAGTCCGCTTTCTCCCAGTATGTGCTGATCGCCGCTGGCTTGTCCGTCTTGCCACGGTGATAGAGGCGCG